CTAGACATAAATGGTACTTATATATCTAGATTGTGCTGATTTAGGTCTAGATTTGAGGTTTTGAGCTGTTTTGAATTATTTAAAATTCTTTGATGGATTTATGACTTTTTTTTTTGTTTAGTGCCTTTTTTTTTAATTCATTTACATTTCCTTCAAGAAATTCATGAAGAGCTAGGGTATGATTACCCTGTATGCATTGATAAAATGTTCTATGAATATTTTTATATATAGAAATAAAGAAATAATTTATTTTTATCATAAATGATGTTGACACACTTATGGCGTTGTTTGTTGTTTTTTTCTTCTTGTACAGTCATGACATCCAAAAATAACTATCACGAAAAGAAGGTTATCAGAAAACCCTCAAAAAATGATACCACTAAAAAATCAACTGTTAAAATAGAAGGAAGTTCTTCTGTCCAACCCAACCCTGCAGGAGTTTACTTGTGGGGTGTCGATCTGATGAACGTGTCTAATGAGGATAATGAGAAGGTCAAGGAAGAGAAGTCAAAGGAACGTGGTAAGACACGTCAAAAGAAAATCATCACTGAGAATGAAAATGTCGAGGCGATTTCAATTGAAAATTCAAAAGAGAAACCACAAGAAAATGTGGAAAAGTATAAAGGAGTTAGGCAGAGAAAATGGGGAAAGTGGTTGCTGAGGTATATGACCCAAGAACGAAAGGCCGAGTTTGGTTAGGAACATTTAATACTGCTGAAGAAGCTGCTTTGGTTTACAATAAGGCATCTATTGCTATTTTATTGTCTCTTTTCTAAATTATGTTAATTAAATCTAGCATTAGGATGTTTTTTTCCTTCTTAAATTAATTATGTAATATGACATCTTTACTATCCTATTATAAATAAATAAATAAAGATAACTTTATATTTATCAAATTTTCTTCTTATACTTCCTTCTTCAAGTTTATGAATAGGGGTTCATTAATGCTTTTAAATAAATAAATTCATTGAGCATATATCATATGTTTGGTTGAAGCATTACTCTTTTTTTATTTAGTGTCCAATAATTACACTTTTTGATCTTATGTCTCTTTGTTAGGTGAGTTTCTAAATACAAATGTTATATGTCTAGATTATGTTGCTTTAGGTATTTGGGATTTTGAGCTTTCTTTATTTAACCTATTTTACTTTCTTTAATGGATTTATGACTTCTTTCCTCTATATATGAACATTTTCTATGTAAGAAACGTAAGAGGAGAGCTAGACAAAAGCCGTTGAATCTTTTTTATCACCTTCAAAACAAATCACAATTCCGTCTTAACATTAAATAGTGATGCCCACTTGCAGATCATAGATCTAGAATTTTAAGTTAGTTCATGTTTTGTGAAGCTTCATGTTGAATGTAACATACATATATAGTTTAGACTCGAAGGATGACCGATATATGTACGAGTAGATATGCATGTCTCGATATGTACATATATATACAATACATGATTCTTGGAATCGATCGACAATTTCATTTTTAATTATCTTTTTCTTGTCGTTTACTTTTCCCTATAGGAGTTTATGAAGAACTAGGGTACGATTTCCTTAGATAAAATTTCAATGACTATTTTTATAAAAAGAAATAATTAATAAAGAATTTTTTTTAGCATAAAATAATTAAGTTGCTATTTTATTGAACCTTCTCTAAATTATGTTTATCAAATCTAGCTAACTCCCAACTTAATTGAGATGTATTTTCTTCTTAAAGTATGTGTTATGACATCTTAATAGGCTATTATACGAAGTTATGAACAAATAAATTAAACTTTTATCTTTAGCAATATCTCTTCTTATACCACCCTTGTTGGTATTTTAAATATTCTTTACAAAATGTATAATTTAACTCAACTTTGTGTTTGTATTCCAACTACATCAATTCTAATCAAAACTAAAAAATATTTGAAATTTATTGTCAAATGCATACTTGATTTTGCGTGTATTGTGTCAAGTTGTTCGGTAAATATGTGTTTTCAAAGAAAATCTTCAATAGAGAAGAAGAAATGAAGAAAAATACTAGTTGAAAGATGATGAACAAGAGAGGGGGGGAGGGGGGGTTAAGAAGAAAACAGACGCATTCATCATATATGACGTCTTATATGATAACTTAGTATCCTATGTGACGTTCTACGTGTGTGTTATGTCACGTAGGACACAAGTGTCTATTTATTAAATTTTCTATAAGTTTAAGTGTCTACTTGTACACATTCAAAGTTGAATAACATAAATGTCAGTTGAAGCCAAATTAAATGACATATTTATGTATTATGTCTTTGGTAAACATCTAATGATAATTCAGATACACACATCTAATAATTCATTTATGACACTAACAAAAAAGTAATACTTTAAATTAGGGGTGTACATGGTCGGGTTGCGGTTCGGGTTTTTCAAATATCAAACTAAACCATTTGTGTCGGATTTTTAAATTTATAAATCAAACCAAACCAATAAAACTCGGGTTTTTCAACCTCGGGTTTTCTGAGATTTTTTCGGGTTTTTCAGGTTTTTCCTGTAAAGTATTCATACAAACATATAATTTACTTGTACTTCTAATATTTCTTTAGTCCTATCAAAATACAACTATCTAAGGTGTTTCTTAAAAAAGTAACACAATATGGTAGATTAATGACACTAAAATATCCAACAAAAATAATAATAATGAAATCGCGTAAAACAACTATTGCAAATTAACAAGTCATAATGAAAATGATCATAATTTAAAAGTACTAAATCATGCTAAAATAAGTTTAATAAGTATTAGTTACATGACTAAATATTAAAATAAATTAAAATTATATTATGTATTTTAATTGTCTAAACCAATGTAAAACTAAAGAACAAATATTCAATATTATTGTCATTCTTAGTGTTGAATTGATTTTCTTTTTGCATTAGTATTAATTTGATTTTGATTTAAGCTTTATTATAATTACCAACATATGTGGACTATAATTTTTGTTGGACCATTCATAATTCTAAGTTTCAAACTTGAAATAATATATTAAAAGATAAAAAGTATGAAAAAGTATAAGAAATATTTAAAAGTTATATTAAAGTAAATATTTTTATGTATAAAATAAAATTTTAAAATTATATGTATAATGTCGGGTTGGTTTGGTCTCGGGTTGGTTATTTTTTTAAAACCAAACCAACCCAAATATAGTCGGATTTTTTTTTTCAATACCAAACCAAGTCAAACCAAATCACTAGTCGGTTTTTTTTCGAGTTGACTCGATTTGCGGTTTGATTCGATTTTCGGTTCGATTTTGTACACTCCTACTTCAAATATATTTTTCACCATTTTCTCTTCAAATTAAATTATGTATTGACAGGGTAATTCAATGATATGTATAATTAACCTCTCAATTCAATTAAATAAATATGTTATAGAATGTTATTGCGTATTACTCTAATAATAGGGTTATGAAAAATTAGGTTAATTAAACTTAATGGCGTATTTTTTTTGGGACATATATATGTTTTTCCAATATATATAGATGTATCAACAATAATAACAACAAAAAAACCAAGTGTAATTCTACAATTATAGTTTGGAAAGTGTAAAATGTGTACAATCTTACTCTTACTTTTATGGGGAATGGAGAAGTTATTATCGATTAACACTTGATAATAATTTTCTTCTTTTGTTCAAGCTTGAGAATGAGAATGTAAACATGCTCAATGCTCACACAAAGGTAATGTATATATATATATATATATATAAATATATATATATACCCGTTTGACCTTAAAAGACATTTATTTTGTTTCTGAACTAATTTTTCACTTGATTTAGAAACCAGTGTTTGATCATTAGAATATCAAATTCAATTTTTAGTTGTATTTTAAATTAGGAAAACAAACTTATAATCTGTTTTCCGACTCACTTTTTGAAGTTATATTTAAATATGATATTCGAGCATAAATACTATTGTAAATTTACTTTACCATCTGTTTAATCTAATACAAATCTATTTTTTACAACTCCAACTCGAACTTCAATGAAAAATATTTGAAATCTATGAGCAAATACTATATATATTTTTTTCTTCGAACTAAACATAATCCTTTACTTGCTTCCTTCATTTATAATTTTTAAAAGAGGAAAAGAAAAATAAATGATCCTTTAATTTTCTTTCCCCATTTCTGAAGGAAGAAAAGAAAAATAAATGAAACTTTCCCAAAAATGAGTAACAAACAAGAGCTTACTGTTTCAACCGTTTCATTTTACATATCGTCCACCAATGCCACCTGCTTGTCATGCATATTCCACAACAACACATGTCCTTACAATTTCTCAATATAATACTCACACAAACACCGCTTCTTAGCTATCAAACAGTCAGAGAAAGAAAAAAATTGTTACAATTTTAGGTCAGTTTTTTTTTTAATTTTGTGTTCACTTCTGTTCTAATTTAATTACTTTTTTCAATTTTTTTTGGTATCCGCTTACATTTTTTATGTTATATATTTGTGACAGGTGAGTTTTTAGTCACACATGTTGTATACGTCTAGATTATGACAATTTAGGTCTAGATTTGGGGTTTTGAAATTTGAGTTGTCTTTGAACTATTTTAATTTTTTTTAATGGATTTATGATTTCTTACATGTATATATGTAATTTCTCTATAAAAAAAAAACACTAGAGGAGAGCAGGATATAAGTGGATCTAGAATTTTATGTAAGCAATTGTGCTTGTGTTTTGTGACTATTGAATATTGATGCAAAATTTAACATAAATATATGTCCTTAAAGAAATTTAATTATGCAAATAGTTTTTCACAGTTAAATGACCATAGATACGTAAAGGAGATATGTTTTGTTATACGATACATAATTCATGAAGTTGGAGTTTTTTTTTTTTTTCATTTACCATTTACATTCACTCTACAATTTTTGAAGAATTAGGGTATATCTTATCAACAATGAAGTTAACACACTTGTGACGTTTTTTATTGTTTTCTCTTTTCATAGAGCCACAACATCCATAAAATGCATCACGAAAAGGTCATTGAGAAGTCCTCAAAAAGTGATGCTATGATCAAATCAATCGATCAAGTCAGAGATAGTTCCTCTGTCTTGCCAAGTTCAATAGGAATTCGCTTGTGGGGTTGTGATCTGATGAACCCATTTAATGAGGAGAAAGGGAAGGTCAAAGAAGAGAAGTCAGAGCAACATGAAATGGCATGCGAAAAAGAAATGATCGTCAAGAATAATATTGAAAACACCGATGAAATTTCAATAGAAAATTCCAAAGGAAAACAAATTAAGTTACCACAAAAAAATGTGAAAAAGTATAAAGGGGTTAGACAGAGGAAGTGGGGTAAGTGGGTGTCCGAGGTTCGAGTTCCGAAAACGAGAAACCGAATTTGGTTAGGAACGTTTGACACGTCTGAAGAAGCTGCTTTGACTTATGACAAGGCAGTCATAGAAATGAGAGGTCCTGATGCTGTGACAAACATCCTTAAGCCACCACCAAGAGAGGTACAACCAATGGAAAACAACCTCATCAACCCACCGCCAAATTTTATGAATCTTTCATCTTCATCCTCAAATGATGCTAGGGTTTGAGAAATGATTTGTTCTATTTTGTTGTACTTTCTTTAAATACTATTAATCAAATTTAACAAACTCCCTACTTATTGGGATGCCCCCCCTCCCCCCCCCCCCCCCCCCCCACTAAATTTAGTAAGCAATATGACATCTTTACTAGATTCTGACTAAATATATTCTTGTGAAGGTTCATGTTAATTAAATGTTATTATTGAGGTTTCATTAGACAACAAGTTCTCAGAACCACAAACAAGAATTTCCATCACATATACTGGTAAGAGAAATATGATGCAATTATTTTTTGGTAATACAAATGATTCTACCCTAGAGACAATTACCTAACTAACAAAAAAAATTAATCTTTCATTTGATGCAATTTACATAGGGTTACCTTTAAATGGCAACTTTCCTTTAAAAGCATTGTTCATGCTACACTATGTATTTTCCTTCTTCCTTATTCATGTGAATGGAGTATTCGAGCAATGTTAAAGTTATATCCATGTGATCTATAAATCATCGATTCAAGTTTGTAAAATATAATTAGTGAATACTCATGATACTTTCATTAAGGTAGGCAGCCTACTTGACAAGAGTTTTAGGTGGGGTCTTCACAAGGGAGTTGCTCAAGTTGTAAATACTCTTCACCTCTAATTTTTGTAGTTCGCTTTAAGACCCCGAACAAATACAAGATGCTTTGTGCACTATATTATGCCTCTTTCTCGTCATGTGAGAATCATGTGTAAGACTATATGGAATGATGTGATAGGTAGGGAGTTTATGGTAAAAAATACACATCTGATATATCATTTTTTTTTACTAGTTTCATAACTGAATTATCATATGTTTGTGTTTTCTTTATGAACTATCACAAAATATTTATCAAACACACGTTGAAGCTGACTAAATTAAGTGTTTGAATACAATTCCCAAAAAACAATGTATGACAACTTAATTTGCTTATAAAATTTCATCTACATGGCAGCTAACTCATTAATTTTGAGGTATATTTTTATAAATAATTGGTCATAGTTTAAATAGGAAAGGGATAATGCATAAGTATCCCTCCTTAACTAGGATCTTATTCCCCCGTTAAATTATTTTAAAATATAATAAATACACTTTAAAAGCTGATGAGACATAGAGAGTGTACACACTCTCTTGAAGGCAAGTGATGAGTGAATATATTTGTAACATCTCGCTAATTGAAAGAACTAGAAAGAGCTAGAATTAGAAAGAGTGATTTTTGGAAATAATAAAAATCTGGAAAATTGGTTAAGTTAAGTTAAGTTTGAGATTTAGGTCAACTTCAAATGACCATAACTCCTAGCTTAGGATGAGTTAGGTGTGTTTCTAGATACCGTAGGAAAGATCCTGGAATAATCTTTCCAACGCCGTCGAGTTTGCACGATTTTGAGTTTTTATGAGTGAGTTATGCCTATTGAAAGTTGGGTTGTTCAAATAAGAAAAGTCCAATCCGGATTTTAGAAGGGCATTATGGTCTTTTCACCACCCACTTAAGTTAATTCGTTTTTCACAATTAAATTGGGGTCTAAACTAAATTGGTTCAGTTTAGACAATTGGAAATTTACGCTAGGGTTTTGGAGAAAGAACGCAAGAGGAGAAAAGAGTAGAAAGAGCAAAGTTCGTCGTTCTTGAAGGTTTAGCTTGTGGATTTTGACAAGGGTTGATCCCTAAAGAGGTATGTGAGTCTTTCATAGAGTTGGGTTCGTTCACCCATGCGCCAATCATGTTATTTCAGCGAAGTTTGTTCTAGAAAGTTGAAAGTTGATGAATCTTGAACGGTGTTCTTGAAATTGGCCTTCGTTCTTGAGTTAGGTTGAGATTGAGGAGTTCCTTGAGGTTAAAATATTGTTTCCTTGAGTTGTTTGAGTTAGATTCTTGTGTATACATACTAGGTATCTGAATCTGAAGGGAATTTGAGAAAAAGAACTGAGTTTAGGCGAATTGGGGTTTGAAAACGAAGAAGGAACAAGTCGGGAAGAAACTGGGTACCAGGTCCGCAGAAGTGTAATTTTCCCTTCGCATCGCGGCGAGGTCACAGACCTCTCTGCCTCAAAAGTTATTTCGCGACCAAATATTTAAATGCGTCTCTGCGTCGCAGACCTACCCTCAGAGAGTGATTTTTTTTATCTTTTCTCATGTTTAGCTATGTAAAATCATTCCTAAACATCATGAGATCTTTCCTATAACAAATCACAATCCTTGAATCCATAATTCAATTCAAGGAAAGTTAAGAGTCAAGTCAAGAGAAGTCAAGAGTCAAGTCAAGAGAAGTTAAGAGTCAAGTCAAGAGAAGTCAAGAGTCAAGTTAAGAGAACTTCATAAAGTTTTTCAAAATTCTTTTACAAATGTTTTAACTTTGTTTTAAGACTTGAGTTTTGAGTTGAGTAAAGAGTAAAGTTTGGAGTGCATTTCTTCAAAAGAGTATATCGGGACTATGTATTCCCAAAAAGTAAATGTTTTCACATTTAAACAAGAAAGGAAATTGAGATTTCCAAAAGAGTCTTTGATCTAGTTTTCAGTAAAGAGTAAGAGTAAAGTTCATTCTTCAAAGATTATTCGGGAACTAAGTATTCCCAAGAGTTAAAATGTTTCCACATTTGACCAAGAAAGGAAACTGAGATTTCCAAGAGAGCTTTTAAGTTAAGTTTTTGAGTAATTATCTCAAACCAAAGAAAGAGTTTTGTTTTTACAAACATATGAGTTAAAGTATATTTTGGGAGTAGTATTGAGCACCGATATGGGGACGAGCTTGAATTCAGATAACTCACGTCTCCATAAACCATGTAGCCATCATGGGTAGTAAAGAATCATACTTTTAAGATGACTCATTAAGATGCTTTTAGCATAGACTAGTGGATCCACTTATTTAAGCATTCTATATGACGGCAAAGTATAAGACATTTCTGATAGCGTGGGAAAGACGTATCACCACTTAGGCTCATAGTGGTGGTTGTCGGTTAGAGAAATTCCCACAGAAACTATATTACTTTATTATATGAGTAAAGTTGATTTTGTTATTGCATTTTCTTTAACAAACTAAGTTGTTTTCTACTATTTTAAAAGCTTTCTATCTATTGCATGTGTTTTATTGCTTTATATTGAGTTAAGTTATTCAGGAGTTGAGTAAAGCCAAGGTAAGTGTTTCTTTCAAATTCTTTCAAGCTTAAGTTATATTTAGCATTCCAACTCGCATACTCGTACATTCAATGTACTAATGCCAGTTGGCCTGCATCTTATTATGATGCAGACACAGGTAATCAGGATCAACATCCAGCGCTTCGTTGATCTAGTTGAGCACTCAGAGTCAGTTGGTGAGCCTCCTAGATTTTCGGGGGATCCTTTTTATTGCTTTCAGTATTTTGTTCATTAGATGTCGTGGGTCTTGACCCGACGTCCATCTGAGTTGTTTAGAGGCTTCATAGACAGTGTTAATGATGTTAGTTCATGAGTTTTTATTTTCCCTTTTCAATTAAGTTGAGACTTGAGTTGCCACTTTGGCAGGGAATGTTATTTATTACATTCTAAGTTAGGTTTTTTGAGCAGTTCAGTTTACTTGTTTTAAAAGTATTTATCTTGAGTAAAGTCTTCCGCTGAGTAAGTAAACCAGGCCAAGGGTTTGCTTGAGGCCAGCAATGGTTCTCGAGTGTCGGCCACGTCCAAGGTGTAGGCTCGGGGCATGACAAACTTGGTATTAGAGCATAGAGTTCAAGAGTCCTAAGGAGTCTATGAAGCTGTGTCTATAGAGTCTTAGTTATCGGTGTGAATTGCGCTACATCTATAATTAGGAGGCTGCAACATTTAGGAAATTCCTTCACTTCTTTCATACTCATTTCGTGCGTTGGAGTTTTATCTCTAAAAAGTTTCTTTCTAACTCGTGCTTACGCATAATCGATTTTGAGATGGTCTATGGTCGAGAGTGCCTTCATGAGTCGTTTCTTTCCTCGTGAGCTAAGAGAAGCAAAGATATGGTTACTGACATAAGGAGCAGGATGAGTTTATTCCTAGTTGGGTTGACTCGTCTGTCAAGTATAGAAACTAAGGCAGCCATGCTAATAGGTTACATGGGCATAACAAGGCTAATGATCCATGTGCAACAAGTTGAGGAGGACAAGCTGAAGGATAGAGAAGAGTTTAAGAACAAGAGAGCTAAGATATCAGGGAATGAATCCGAGTAGCAAAAGAGTAATGCGAACCGGTCTTCTTTCTAGCATAAGCAGAAAGGACCTGCTTTATCATCTGCTAGTGCACCTGCACCAAGGAACAAATATGAGTACAATAGTCAGAATTCTCAGAACTTCAGAGCTAGACCTGCGCATTCGCAAGGTAGTAAGGCACAAAGGGGTACTAAGACTCATGCATGTGCTAAGTATGGTAGGAGCCACTCAGGGGTGTGTCGTGATGGCTCCACTAGTTGCTTTAAGTATGGCCAGAACGGTCATTTTTTGAGAGACTGTCCTAAGAGCAGACAGAGTAATGATAATAGGGGCAATAGAGCCCAGTCTTCTTCAGTTGCTCCACCAGATAGAGCTGCATCTATGTAACGACCCTAAAAATGAAATAGGAAGAACTAGAGACTCACATGTATATTGAAGTTGGTAACTTGGTTAATTAATGTAAATCAGCTTTTTGAGTTTAGTTCAAAGAGATTTGGGGTCCGTAGATGCTGCCAGTTTTTGACATTTTAATTTTTAGTTGGGGCTTTGGGAATTAATTAGTTATTAGATTAAGGTTAGGGGGTCGGTTAGGAGTTAATTAAATGACTTATATAAGGTTTTAAGTCTTTTAACAAGTCATTTACTCTCTTTTCCCTAAATCAAAATCCCAAAGTGTTCCCTGTCTCTATAGTTCTCTCTAACTCAAAGAAGAAGATGAAGTGGGAGCTAGGGTTGAGGATTTCATGGTGTTTCTTCTTCAATTTTCGTGGGATTCATAAAGGCTAAGGTATGGGGATCTTTTATCCTTGATTCCTTTTCCATTCAAGCAGCCAAATCAAA